TATGTCTCTTGAACCTTTTAATCACCACAAGGCTGTGACTCTGGACATCTCCACTGTATCTCTCTTTCAACCTACCTCAACCAGCCTACGCTTACTCTAGTCACTCTTACAACATTCTCTCATCAGTATGTATGGTCTGGTTCCACTTAAGACACACCTGCCCCTTCTCATTAATTGGGTCCCCTAAATAGCCTGGACTTTAACTATGGGCAGCAGCAAAAGGAGCACACATCTGGACTGAACAAAGCACTGGATTCTCTCTTCCTCCTCAGAATTCCACACTCAAAACACCATCACACTGGCATCCTGCTTCTCTCTCTCAATTATTTGTCATCTGTTGCAGCCTGTTCCCTGATCCCCAGCAAATGGCCTGTAGGTGATATAATGGATAGTGTTGGACTTGGAGTCATGAAGCAGCCGAAATTTGAATTCTGTCTCACTCACTGGCTGTGTCATCTTTGGCAAATGCATTAACCTCTCTCACCCTCAGCTTTTCCATCTGCAAAAAAGGAAATAATATTAGTACCTCAAAGAGTCGTGAAGATCAGATTAGATAATATATGTAAACTTAAAAATGCTAGCTAATATTATTCCTCTCTGATAGTCATACTTACTGATCCAATGTCAGGTCCTACGGTCTTTTACCTACCAGTCATTTGCATAGATGGTAGGTAGAAAGTACATGCCACCTAACTTGGATTGCCACTACATGCCTTTATGAAACCCAATCTTAACCTGGTTTACTATCAGGAAAAGGAGAAAGGCATGGATTTTTGCTATCAAAACTATTCTAGAGACTCAGCGTATTGGAGGGCAAGCATAAAACACCTCAAGGGCTATTCAGAGGGGAATAGGAACACAGGTAACAAGATTAAAAAACCTGTATGAAGGAATTAGGAATCTGGTGGTTTTCTCTTTGCTGCCTAGCCCAATATCTACTGTCAGTATAAATTCTCTGTAATAATTCATTTGAATACATGGCACACATTCTAGGTTGGGTCCTATGACAGAACTCCAGTTCATTTTCTTTAAATATATATAACTGATAAGACTCAATGGAGTAAAAACATCAAGCTAAGGAATTATCATTGTATTGATTAATTATGAATATGATTAAAGCAATATAATGAAGCAGATTTAAAGCATCAACATTTTAAATAACAGATTATTCTTTCCAAGTTAAAAATGTTTCAAGTGTAATTTTCCTCATTAGATGATAATATCAAATACATACAATTATGTATTTGAAGCATATACTTTAAACAGAAACTATGGCCTGCAGCTACATTTGCTGGCATATTTAAAAGATAGGAAATATGAATAGGAAGCATCTACTATTTCTTCTTGTTTGCCAGTTCTCTGCTATCATCTTGCTTAAATGCCTTATGTATGTAGTAAGTTGCCTAAAACTTTTTCTGGACATAAATTTTATAGCACCAACACAAAATGTCTCTAATAAATTATATTTGAGGAAATTGGGCAAAGGAAGAGAAAGTAATCATTTAGAAGTTGCCCTGCAGATCAGTTATAAATCACCTGGATGGATCATCATTGACATGTTGAGTGTTTAGCATTATTGTGCATTTGTTGTTGACTTCGAGAGAGGGCAGAACTAAATAATGCAACAAAAAAACTCTTATATTGTAGCATGTGAAGTAAAGCTCAAAATCTAAGGAGAAGCTAAAATCAGGATGTTAGTTTTATTTTTTTTCTCTGCTGTTGGGGGCAGGGAGGAGATAGAAAAACAGAACCTCAAGAGATTTCTGTTTGTAAGCCCAAGGTAATATTTTTAGCACTTTATGTAACAAATTCCATCATTGTTTACTCATTTTTATTATCTAGAGGATTGGGGTTTTGTTTATTTGTATATTGTATCTCAAAAACAGCAGGATCTCTAAGTACCAAAGCTGTTGCTTTTAATTGAATAGCTTTTCACAGGTGCCACATTTCAAAGCTGATGTTTCTTATTTAAATATGTAAAGTCCTTTTAGAGAACTATTGAATTATCAAAGAAAAATAATTATGTTGAAGAATTTTTAGTGAAATGTTTGATTGAATTTTAATTATTTAAGTATTAGTAATCCATACGGGGTGAATATGGAAACTAGCAACTGAATACTTTGGGAGAATAATAATAGCTGACTTTTATACCAACACTTTATGATTTATAAAGTGTTTTATATTATGACAAAACTATGAGGAAGTATAACCAACCCTAAGAACAGTAAAATCCCTGAGTCAAAACATGGCTTAAGGCTTGAGGAACTTGTTTGCCACTTAGGAAGACCTAGGTTCAAGTCTTGCCCCTGCCACTGACTATATGACCCAGGTCTAGTCACCCAATCTTTCCATGCTCCCAGGCAACCATCTAAGAATATACATTTCAGATGTTTTACTCTGCATGCCTATCTGTATTAGTAGAGGAAGTTGTTGTTATGCAAATGAAATCAGATTTTTAAAAAAAGATTATATACATATATATGCATATATATATAAATATATAATAGCTAGTATTTATATAGCACTTTAAGACTTGCAAAGCACTTTACAAATATCTCATTTTATCCTCACAATAACACTGAGAAGTAGATGATATTATAGCCACTTTACACATAAGGAAACTGAGGCAAACAGAATTCAAGTGACTTGGCCAGGCGCATACAGCTAGTAAGTGTCTGAGGCTGGATTTGAACTCAGGTCTTCCTGATTTACAAGTCCAGTCTTGTATCCAATTTCATCTAGCTCTGTGTGTGTGTGTGTGTGTGTGTGTGTGTGTGTGTGTATGTGTGTGTGTGTGTGTATAACCAACTAGTAGAAGTACACTGAGGCAAAGTTTAAATGTGTGTGAGTTTAGAACGTGGGCGGAGTAGATTGTTCCCAGATCACATGTTTTTCCCCCCACTAGACATTTCAAGATATAGGACTTTTTCCACTCCCTTCCCTTCTTCTTGCCTCAGAGGCTGATGCTTCCTTGAGGAACCCATATTCCAAGTCACACCTTACCCTGGGTCAACAGTGATTCCTTTAACCTAATAGGAGGATGGTCCCAATTGATATGGCTCTTTATCTCTGCTATCCAGGTGCTTATAAAAATTATTAATAAACATCAAAATAATGCAAGTCTTTCACAATTACAGCCCTAATCCCCAAAGCCAGAATGAAGCCCTAGCTTTTTTTTTTTGCCTTATTAGTAGACCCCAATGTTGTTCTAATCCCAGCTGTTCACTGGCATCCTGTACTGCATTACCCTCCAAAAGACACAGCTAATATGTAGATGTGTATCACAAAGAAGTTAGAGTATTCTTACATCTTATAGGAAACAAAATAAGGAGATAGAATTGTTTGGAGATATAAAGGAAGTCACATAAGGATCAGGGGCAAAGGAGGTTAAACATTCATCTTCCTTTGGCTGATCTCTAAGAATACCAACAACCATCTCCATAAATCCATTCTCTTCACAGTTTTCTTCTCCAGAAATCTGTTTTGTTTGCTTGCTTATTGTTTTGTTTTATATTGGGCAGAAATACAAGCTGGGTAAAGAGCTTTTAGCCACATCAACAACCTCCCCATCACCACTTTAATATTGGTATACATTTTTTTAAAAAAAGCATCAATGTAGTGCCCAGTTCAAAACTCCAGGTGTTGCAGAAATTGTTCCCCTGTTCAAAGCTCAAGACCCTCCCCCTCCAGACAAGAAGAATCCTCTGTAGTCTAGGCACTCTCATTCACTCATTTAGTCTTCACAAAAACAACCACCAACAAAAAACCCTACAGAATGGGTACTATAGATAGCATCACCATCCCCATTTTACAGATAATGAAACTGACAGTTAAGTAACTTGCCCAAGGTTACTTATAACTAGTAAGAATCAAAAGTAGGTCTTAATCTTTAGTCTATTGTGTCTGTAATTTCAGTATTCTTTTCACTTTACTACTTTGACTCATTCTCTAATACTGCATACACACACACACACACACACACACACACACACACACACAATTTCCTTATTTCTTACCTTTGAAGTATTCCTTCAAAAGACAAGTGCCCACCAAAAATCCTTTATTATCAGTTCTTAATCTAAGTGGCCCATGAATTTGTATTTTTAGCGTTTTGATAATTATATTTCAATGAGTTGGTTTCCATTGCAATCCCATGTATTTCATTTTATGTCTTTAAAATAATTATTCTCAGAAGGGATCCATAGGCTTCACCAGACTGCCAAAGGCATCCATGACACACAAAAAAAGTTAAGAACTCTCATTCAGATAGAGGGTGTCCCAAAAGTCTAAGTACGGTTTTAAACTTTAATAGCTCCAGAAGTTTAGATTCCACAAACTTACGAAAAACAAACTGTGAAAGGTTAGTTATATAAAATATTAAATTATTAATGTTTCCCATTAAGATACAACATAACAACTGTCTCATACTGTACATTGCTCTAGTACATTTTTGAACTTTGTAAAAATTTATATCAGCTGCTGTTCAATCACTGAAAGGATTGCATTGATAATCTTAGCTTTAAGATCTTCTAAAGAATGAGGTTTTGATACACCCACATGGAAGATATGACCTCAGAAGAAAAAGGCTAATGGAGAAAGATAAGATGATCCAAGTGACCAATTATGAAGATCTCCTCTACTGATCCACTGGTCTGAGGAAGTGTCATCTAGAAACCATCACATATTAAGTGAAAAATAAGAGGTTGAGCCATTTTGTTAAAAATGAAATTTAAAATTTTATTATTCAAAATTCACAAAACTAAATAAGTATAAAATATGTTTGCATAATTAAATGTGTTTTACATATTTTCTAGGATGCTTAATCTATTAATCTAGCATGATTATTTTTTGGGGGGGTGGAGGAGTTGGTGGGGAAACAACTCATACATATATATGCTGTTCTCTGTAAAACTGGAGGAGTGGGGAAGGGCATGGGTATTGGGGTCCAAAGACTGAGTCCTGGCTCTGAGGTATTCCTGACACCTCTCTTTGCCTTACAGGAATGTTAGTTCTGCTGGAGAGGAAGCCCGCAGAAGAATGAGGGAATGTGATGGACTTACGGATGCATTGCTTTATGTGATTCAGTCTGCTCTGGGGAGCAGTGAAATTGATAGCAAGGTTTGTTGGGTTTGCCTTGGGAGGGATAAAAGTGAGAAAGTATTGCTTCTGGGGAAAAGAAAGTAAGCCAGAATACTTTGTTTATTGTTTTGTTTTGAAATATCAAAAGACTTTCTTTTTCTTTTTAAATAGTACCTACATTTGGCACTAATATGGTTAGAAAATAATCTTCAAAACCCTCACTTTAAAAAGAGATCTTTCAACGGAAAGGGATTCTGTTGCATCCAGCTAGACTGGAACTGAACATTCCATGCTCCCTTATTGTTTTAAAACCGGAGAGCATGGAAAGTAATTTTTTTAGCTACTCATTGCACAGTGTGCAGTCTTTCTTACACCCTTTTAAAAAACATACTCCAGCTTCCTTGAAAAGTACAATGCTCTTCAAAAAACTAAGATAAACACAAGCCCCTTTGCTTTTGTGAAATAGCCCAAATTTGTGTCAAGTAGTTCCATACAAACCATGTGTGGTCTAATGAATAGTTGTAAATTAAACATGTAGCTCTTAGGAGAAAAATGTGTATTTTAATGTTATGGGTTTCACTCATGTATTTTTGTGAACGTTCTCATCCAATTTATTTTGTTTTATGTTCATTAATTCAATACTGAATAGCTCTCTTTAAAAAGCCAAGTGACTGTATAATGTCAATCATTGTCATAAAAAGAATAAGTCAGTTATATACTCCATAGTCAGATCAGAACAGTTGGTGATTCTGCTGCAAAAGAGGGTAGTGCACAATATCACTAGCCCTTTCATATGACCTGTTATGAAATAGTTATTGGGGAGCAAAAAATTGAGATAGCCGCCTTATATGTTATACTCACTACATTTCCTCATCATATTCTCCTATACTCTTAAAAGCAGATTTTCTCAAGTCATGACCAGTAGGGCAGCCAAGTGGCTCAGTGAATAGAGGGCCAGACCTGGAGTCAGGAAGACTCATCTTTCTAAATTCAAATCTAGCCTCAAATAATTATTAGCTGTGTGACCTTGGACAAGTTACCTAACCCTGTTTGTCTCAGTTCCTCATCTGTAAAATGAGATGCAGAAGGAAATGGCAAACTACTCCAGTATCTTTGCCAAGGAAATCCCAAATGGTGATGTGAAAAGTTGTGCATGACTGAAAAACAACTCAACAGAATGAGCACTATAACCACTTCTCAGTTTTACAGGTTTAAGGCACCTGGTGTGATTGCATAAATTAATTCATTCTTTGTCACCAATTTAAAAAAGACTCAACAATGAAATCAGCATTAAAATATTCTTTGAATTTTTGTGTGTGTGTGTGTGTCAAAACCAGCAAAGAACCAAAGCCATATATAGTCTGTGCCCTTTAATAGCCATATTAGACTTCCTAATGTAATTGATAGGATAATTCGATTTTTTTTTTTTGATAACCAGCCAGGGCAGTGTGAATAATTGCAGGTGTCAGTCAAACCGACAGGCATATCATTAAGTGTAACAGGAAAAAAATGATTCCCTGAGGTTTATCTCCCTGAAGTAGCACTCTTGAGAATATTAACAATTATATCAAGAGGTAGAAGTCTAAGGCTTTGATATGCTAAACTACTTTACCAAATGCTTGACAAAACTTGGAGCAATGTGGTGAGACACTATGTAGTCCTTCCCATTAGCCGTGCTCCTGTATTACATTTGACTGATATTCCTGTATAATTCTGTCTAGAAAATGATTCTTTTAAGCATTGAAAACAATTGGGTCAAGGAAAATATCAATGAACTTTCTCTTGAAGATCAGTGAAGGTCTATTTCAGATGATGAGTAAAAGAGCCTCAATTCTATGCAAGCACAACTGTGCTGTGTAATTGGGACAACTCGATAGATGAGTAACATATGGTAGGATGCTCTACAGACAGCTTCTAAATTAGCCCGTCCTAATGGAAAGTAAGGAGTAAAAATGACCCTGGTGACCAAGAACTGGTGAAAACTCACCATTACTTGGAATGCATTTCAAAGACAAAACTACCAGCTGGATCCTCCTTCTGTTTGTTTGTCTTCCTTGGAGGGGTAGAAGGGTGGAAGTTGCCTCTTTTTACCTCTTTAGAGAGAAGCTCCTGGCTCAAATTTTTGCTTAACAAACTCCAAGCTGAAAAGCTGAATGAGAATATGAAGATTGCCAGCCAAAAAGAGCAGGCCTCATCTCACTCTGCATGGAAACATACAATTGTGCAAAAGCACGGGTGCACATACACATACACTCACATGCCCACATATACACTGCTGGGTGCCAGCTCCCAGGCAGCAGGCAACTTCTAAGGGAGTGCAAACAGAACAACATCTGATAGTGTCAATCTATTAGTTTGATCTGCCAGATAGCTTGGTTTATTAGTCACTTGTTTAATTACTATTTAAATTAAGCCCATTTCTAGTTCGTTGTTATCTGAGGAAGTAGACTACAGGATGACCTAAGACAAAGGAGAAGGGGGGGGGAAGCAGAAAATTCCCCTCAAGCCCTTGGTATTAGAAACATCAGCTTCATAGAATTTAAGAGTCAGACAGGTAAGATTTATATGATAACTTTTTTGCCAGTGGCTTTTTCCCAATTTTTTTTTCAAGTGTGCTCCTATGTTTACTTGTTTTCATGCCATTTCTTCTCATGAGAAGATGCATGAAATAGAAAAGTTGGTTGATAAAAACAAAACAAAACAAAACCTATGAGATTAGTGCATGACAAGATTCCTAAAAGCTTCTAGGATATTGTCTACAATCTACGAGGCTGCAGAAACCAATTCAGAAAATACTCCTTTCATGTTGATTTTCAAATAACCCATAATTAAATGAAAGAAATGTTTTTTATGAGACTTGTGTCCCCCATTACTAAAAAAAAAAAATCAAAATATGATTATAGTTGTCCTTAAGCTGTATGCATACCTTGATCCTTTGAGCTAACTTTAAGGAAGAAACTCAGAGGACCTCTTTTGTCTTCCTTAGCTCTGCCCAGCCCCCAAAGCCTTTACATATTCCAATATACAGTTTTCCACTTCCAAGTTAGAAGAAATTGGTAGTTGGGCTATGTTTATAGAAAACATTGAAACTTCTTTGTGTTTTTTTTTGGGAGGAGTGATGGTTTTTTGGGTTGTTTTTTTTTTACCAATTCATACTTATAATAGTTGACACCATATATCAATGTAGTTTATGGTATGTTTTTATTACTTGTCCATCACCCTCCTTAGCACTGACTAACATCAGGTTGGATCATGATTTTATTGGAATCCTAATTACAACCACTTTGAAAGGGAAGATCAGTTTGCTTAAAGAGGAGGAAAACGGAAAGATTGTAGAGCAAGGACTTGGTTGTTGGAGGGGAGAGACTTCTTTGGAGTAAAAAGCCAAAACTTCAATTTTTGGCCAGAGATGTTTCTTCTAAGGGATATTTATTTTAGAAGGGTAGCCAAGTATTTTAGTTGCTGTTTTATGCTTTTTAGTATCAATATGACTTCTCAAATATTTACTCCCTCCCCACCCTTCAAAAAAACCATCTCTTATAAAAAATAAGTGCAATCAAACAAGTCATTACATTGAACACATAAGAAAACTGGCTAATTTTGTGAGGTATTTTTTGAGAGAGAGAGAGAGAGAGAGACAGACACAGAGAGAGACAGAGACAGAGAGACAGAGAGAATGAATAGAAGGTCTTAGGGCCCTATTGAGTTAGTCTCTAGTTTTTCAACTATGCTCCAAGTGAGTAACTAGAAGTAAGGTGGACAAATGCAGGGATAGGGACAGGACTATCATTACACTGCATTATGGAGCTCCCAAGTGAGGAAACTCCTTCTGCTAATGTAGATCCTTACATTCTCTGCAATAGTCCTAAAGATTTTCCTAGAATACTAAGATGTTTAGTTGCCCAGGGTCATAATACTGCATTTGTCACAAAGTGAGACTTTGAACATGAATCTTATTGGATTTGCTTCTCAGCCTAATGTATCTGATGATAAATGTGTATATAATGACTGCATGCAAGAAAGTAATCAGATATAAAGCCTAAAGAGCAAGAAAGAGGGCTGTTTATGTTTGTCATTATTTTCCCCTTTGTTTCCATTTTATTTGTTTTGGTTCTTTAGACCGTTGAAAACTGTGTGTGCATTTTGAGGAACCTCTCCTACCGACTTGCAGCAGAAACATCTCAGGGACAGCAGATGGGAACCGATGAGCTTGATGGACTGCTATGTGGTGATGCCAATGGCAAGGATGCTGAGAGCTCTGGGTGTTGGGGCAAGAAGAAGAAGAAAAAGAAATCCCAAGATCAGGTGATTCAAATTACTTGCAACTGCATGTAATTATCACAGCTTCTAAATTACAATGGTATGATTTCGTGTGTATATAATACGTATATTATATACACAGAGACATATTTATATACACTACAGGATTTTACAAAAAAATCCTATATACACTATAGGATTTTACATGTTCAAGGTGATTTAAAAATATTGCCACATTGGTATTTCCTGTGGGGATTCTATAAATAATATATTGAAATGTAATGATTTCTTAATACTCCTTATTTCATAGTGTTTCCATCTGTACTCTGCTTCTGCCACTCAAGGTGGTCACATCCTAGATCTTAACCATCACTAGAGACTGCTCAAGCTCCCCAATCCTGAACTTTCCATTTTCCTCTCTGACAACAATCTCATGTTGTTGCCTTTCTCCTACATCTTTATTCTTGAGTCTGCCCTTTGCCCACTCTGTGATCTCTGGTTCCAGTACATCTTCCTTGCTGTTTTTATTGATGCAGCTTGGGTCATATGGTGGGTGAAGCACTGAACTCAGGTCTAAAAGACTTCAGTCTCAGCTCTGCCTCAGACAGTCTCTGTAAGGCCCTAAGCACGTCCCTTAACCTCTTTCCTTCCCAGTTTCTTTACCTTTAAATGATTGCATTTATTGCATTATATAATATTATTATTATTATTATTGTAATAGTACCTACCATACAGAGGTGTCATGAGGTCAAATGAGATAATATACGTAGAAGTGTTTTCAGATCTTAAAGTGCTATATAAATGCTAACTATTCTTATTCTTATTGCTATTTTTTTAATTATTATTTGTTTTCCTTACACTGACAATCTACTCCAGGATTCTTAACCATTTTTGTGTAACTTACCCTTTTGGCAATCTGGTGAAGTCTAAGGCACCTTTTCCAAATAACATTATAAAACACATTGGATTGCAAAGGGAGCTATTATATCAAAATACATTTATCCCAGTATTTAAAAAGTAAATTCTTGAACCACAGGTAGAAAATTCCTGGTCTAGATCTTTTGGCTAGTCCCTAAAAAATAGTACCTGGAATAGATTAGGTACTCAATAAATATTTCTTCATTGATTGAATTGGCCACACATTTCACTAATATTAGCACAATGTAGTGAAGGGAGGAATGGAATTGGAGTTAGAAGATCTTGGTGTAGTTCCTCTCTCTCCTATTTACTCCTTTGTGACCTTACAAAGGTTACTGTAGTTCATTGGGTCCTACTTTATGTGTCTGTAAAATGAGAGGATTGGACCTATATCATCTTTGCTGTCCTTTCCTATACTATCCTTTTCAGAAGCTTTAAATCTTATGATCCTATAATTGTTGAATTGCCTAAATGATATGTCAGTGAAAGAACGAAAAATAGGACTTTTCAGAATTCAGAGAAGCCATAGAATATAGTCACCAGGATGTTCAAATATATCATTCTGTACCAACTAGTTATACAAAACAGTCTTTCAGGAGCTGGGCTAACAGAGGGGGGCGCAGATATCCCAAATACCATTATATGTTTTTCTTTGAAATGTTATGAAATGTACTTTTGCACTTAGCTTTGAATATAGGTATGTCTGATGTTCTTGGAATTCGTAACACTTCAAATAACACAATAAAACCTCAGTGTGAAGGACAGTTCAGGAGAGACTAAAAAGTAACCCACCTTCCTCATTTGTTCTTTTGGAAAAATTCAGAAGGATTCCTTTTCATGCAATTTTTTTTAACATTGTGTGAGATTTCTGTCATTATAAAGGGTTTGAGGTTTTCGGGAGAGTCCTACACAAAGGTAACCTGCATTATACAAAGGTAGTCTCCAAGGACACTATCTGGAGCCAGAAGACCTTGGGTCAAATGCACTCTAACACTTACTTGATGCATGATCTTTGGGTTGTCCATTACCTTCTCTGAGCCTCAGTTTCCTGATCTGTAAAATAGTGATAATATTTGTATAACCTTACAAGGTTTTTGTAATGAAATCATTTTGTAAATCTTAAAGCTGATAAAAAGAGTTATTAGCAATGCTTCTCAGTCTCTCCAAGGCTTAGTGGAACCTAATTTGGGTAACACAGGCACTGTAGTTAGAGTAATTCCAAAGTGAACAACTGAAAAAAGGAAGACTTATAAAACTCAAAACCTCAAACCATTTTTAGAGCATCTGTTCACTTAAACAACAGCATAAATATGTGTGTGTATACACACACACACACACACAAATATATACATACATGTGCATGTATATCATAGTCACTTACACTTTCTAATCTGTTAAATGTTCCTTCCCCACTAGAACAATTGTTAAAAGAAACAAACGAAAAAGAAATCCTATTAAGTACTAATTATGTATGGTACCACCAAAACTGTAGCTTTAGCTATCATTTAGAATCCAAAGGTTATTTCAATTTTTACTTTCCCCTCCATCACTTCCCTGCTGCTTAATTTCAGTTTGGCATAAATGGTTTGGTGGTTTCTAGAAGTGTTGCTTCTTAACTTAACCCAGGTCTCCTGCATTTGGAAGCATCAAATGTCTTTCTCTCTCTTCTCTCTCCTGATGATTTTCAAATTGACCTTTTTTTTGCTAATTTTTTTATTGATCATCTGGAAATTTGCTGTTTTGTAAACACAAAGTGAAGAGCAATAAAAAGTCATCAGAATATCATATACTGAGCATCACATACAGGATCCCAGAAATCCCAGTGAATTTCTAAGTTTTAACAGTTTAATATTGCACTATGACTTTTGAGGCACCATGTACGTATATATATACTGTCATACACATCTTCTTGTCGTTCAGTAATTTCAGTCCTCTTTGTTTTGAAAAGAGTTCATATAAGGTTAAAGTTGGCCCCAGCTACTTCTTCCTTTTTACACAAAGGGATAGGAGACTGAACTAGTGATTTGGTGGGTATAGGGAACTCCCAGAGGAGGAAAATTCCTGCAAACCTTCTCTGAACTTATAATCTTAGAGTTGCCTAGAGGGGAAGGGAGAGAATAAGCTTTTATTAAAAGGCCACTAGGTACCAGACACTGTGCTAATCACTTTACAAATACCATGCTATTTTATCCTCATAGCAGTCTGGTGAGATAGGAGCTATGAAGAACCTAGGTAGCACACGGAGAGATAAATAAATTGCAGAGGGTCACACACCTAGCATGTGTCAGATGACCCCAATCTTCCTCCTGTCTTCAGGGCCAGGGCTCTGCCCACTATACCATGTAATCTCTTAAAAGGAGGAAACTTTTAATCATGTGAACACTTCTAGAAACCACCAAACTGAATGTAACTTGGTTTAATAAAACATGCTAATTCCTACCACATCATTTTTTTTGCATAACTGTACTATCAGAGAACAAAAACACAACTAATGCCTTTTTTTGAATCAAGGTAATTCATATGCCCCAAAGGGAAGTAAGAATAACAAAGGTTCACAGAAAAAGGAAATGATACATACATTAACTTTGGGGGAAGGAGAATTTTAATCTTGTGTTCAATTCCTTCTCATTTCAGAGCATGACCTCTATAATAAGCCAGCAGAAAGAGCCTGAACCTCATTCCTTTGATTTAATGTCTACCTCTTAGAACCTCATTTTAATAGGATCTCCTCCCCCCAACCCCTTCAAGAATTTATAAATATATTTAACCTTGTCAGTAACATGAAATCTGGTAATTTTCTTAGGCAGCAACTAATTAGCTACTTAAATGCATTTCTCCATATGTAAAATGTGAATCACACATTTGTGGGTATATTATAAATCAATATTACTTTGACCAAGGTAGTTTTGTAGCAATGAATGTTTCATTGAATGAATCTTTGTTACTTTGATGTATTCTCAATCTCATGATATGGGTATTCATTACAACACTGAAGGTTACAGCTTCCCCATTTCTTTTCCATAAGTCTTCCACAAAGCTTACACCAAACATGCTGGAGATTTTCTTTTAGGTCTCTTGACAATAAATGAAAAAAGATACATTTGAGGGCTGTTTTTCAGTGATCCCTTGTTTGTTTGGTTTTTTAATGTTTTTAAATATATATTTTTATTCATCACAAACATTATGTTTGCATGTTTGCCAAAATATGTATATAAGACATTTATTGTTTACCAAATCTGTTGGCTTATTTATGTTTTTGCATATGAATTTTCTGAGATTCCATAGCCCAATCCATCCCCAGAGGCCTGTGGCCACAGGTTGAGACTCATTGGGACAGATGATTCCCTTTTTTCTAATATGGTCCCATGAAAAAGTAATAGAAGAAATTATTTTGGGATAAAAGCTACTTTAAAATTGTAAGTAGATAATTAACAATGATCATACCTCCCTATCATCCCTAATTTAAGAGAAGAGAATTAAATAAAGAATTGGGAAAGATGCTGTCCACTGATACACACAGACACACATACATACATACATACATACATACATACATACATACATACATTGTGATTCCCTTGCTTTCTCCACCTAACCAGCAGACTTTTTTGTGGTCATTCATCTCTTTAATGACATCAATTCCCTTGCTTTACTTATAGACATCTGACCTTAGAGATATCTTTCAGGTACCTCATCCCTATCCTTAGCTTTTGCCCTTTCCATTTGCAATGTTTGTCCCAGATATATGTACTGATGAACCAACTTTGTGGGTTGTACTTCAAACTGTATATCATAATGTAGACAAAAGGCATTCTTCATCTGCTTGATTTTTTTTCTTTATGTATAGTGAGACTGAATGCTTTTGAATGATTATGGATCTTATTTAGGAGGTTCTGTGATGTTCTGGGGCTTAATAGAGTCAACAGAGTTTGTCATTTTCAAACACGAGTCTCTGCAGAAATTCATCAGCTTTTGGGAATCCCTCTTCCCGTTGATAAGGCCTGAACACCTTCTATGAAGGTGACAAATACTTTTACTTTTGAATAAAAAGTACTACTTAAATCTCAAGTTACGTAATATTCCAAAATACATTATTTCACATATATTTTAAGGATCTGTATTTTTAT